CCCAAGCAAAATTTAAGTTAGAAGTGACATTTAACTTTTAGCATTTCTCTCTGTGTAATATTTTCAAGGCCTTTTTTCATGTTGGAAAGTTAATTTAATAATTCAAAATATGACTGTATTGGGGACATATTGCTTTTAAAGAGGTTGTTGCATTATCACAAAGGATCTTGCTCCAATATGGCGGTGTCATTAGAAGAGATTCAGAACTATATATAGAAATAATGGCCATATGAAAACACAAGATGACAGCTACCTGTACCTTAATGTCAGATTTCCAGCAGTCAAGGCTAACTTTTTAGAACAGGATACCTCCTAATTTTTTTGTAGCACTATTATGACGAGTTTATTTAGTATTTTTTATATTTATTTATTTATTTATTGCCAGTCATGGAGCCAGAACCCTGGGCCTGGGCACTGTCCCTCAGCTGTTCAGGTCAAGGCTAGCGCTCTACCACTTGAGCCACAGTGCTGCTTCCGGTGTTTTCTGCTTATGTGGTGCTAAAGAGTCGAACCCAGGGCCTCATGCATGCAAGGCAAGCACTGTACCACTGAACCACCTTCCCATCCCCTATTTAGTATTTTAATACTACTTTCTGAATTTGCTCACTGTCTTTTGTTGTATACCAATAGAATTTGCTTAAAAGCCCACCATAGATATTTAATCTTACAGTCTTTTCTGTGAATTAAAAATATATGGTGATGGGCTGGGAAGGTGGCTCAGTGGTAGAGCACTTGCCTTGCATGCATGAGGCCCTGGGTTCGATTCCTCAGCACCACATAAGCAAAAAGAAAAAAGCCGGAAGTGGCGCTGTGGCTCAAGTGGTAGAGCGCTAGCCTTGAGCTGAAGAGCTGAGGGACAGCGCCCAGGCCCAGAGTTCAGGCCCCATGACTGGACCCCCCCCAAAAATATGATGACTTGCATTCATTAATTCTTTTCATGTTATTCTGATTTTTCTGGAACTCCTTGTCTATAATATAGTTTAGAAATTTCACAAATTCATTTTATGGTGTAAAAACCACAATTGTTCACCAAAATAAATTTTAACACTAAAAGTAGTGCAATAATAATGATCAGTTAATAAATATCTTCAGGATTAAGTTATGTGGAACTGATTTAAATTCTGGAAGCTTTTCCTGATGCACGTGTGTGTGTGTGTGTGTGTGTGTGTGTGTGTGTGTGTGTGTGTGTTTGTGTGTATATACTTTAAAGTACCCAGTTTTGATGTTCTTAGGCACAGGCTTTTGTTTAAATCACTGCTATCATTTTCTGCTCAGGGGCACAGAGGTCATTTGAGAGACTGTGATTCATTAACACTACATTAGATATAGCAATAAAATATCTGGCACTGTCTAGAAGATACAGAAGTATATGTCACCAATTTAGAAACTAAAGCAACTTTCTTTCAAATCCTTTGTTGTGGGTTAGACATAAGCCACTGTGGTGAAAATATTGCTTCGTTTAAGATTTTTATGCATGGTAAAGAGCCTTTAGTGGTGAGACACATTTAATCATTCAACAAACTACACAAATATTCTGTTAAACTTATTTATGTTTATATCTATAACTATATTTTTGAACATAGACACAAAACTTCTCAATAAATTACTGACTAACTTAAATAACTAACCAAAAGAATTATACTCTGGCCAAGGAGATTCATCACAGAAATGCAAAGCTGGTTACATATCAATTGATAAATATAATACAACACATTAACAGAAGGCAAGAACCACATGATCATCTCAACAGATGTAGAGAAAGCTTTTTGACAAGATCCAACATCCTTTTATGATAAAAGATCTGGAGTAGCTAGGAATACATGGGATATTCCTTGACATAATATAGGATGTTTTTGACAAACCTGCAGCCCCCATTGTACTTACAGAGGAAAAAGTATAACCATTTCCACTAAAATCAAGAACAAGTCAAGATGTCCACTTTCTCCAGTCCTCCTCAAAATAGTTCTGGAATTCATAGGAAAAAATACAAGACAAACAAAAAAAAAGAAAAAAGAAAAAATACAAGACAAAGAAAGATGTAAAGTGGATCAGAATAGGGATAGAAGAAATAAAACAGTCTATATTTGCAAATGACATGATCCTATATTTTAATGAGCCTCTAGTTTCCCCCCTCCACTCAAGCTAATAGAAGCTGACTAAAACATTGACAAAGGTTATGAAATCAACCCACAAAAATCAGTAGCATTTCTGTATGCTTACAATGAGAAGATTGAGACCGAAATCAGGAAAGCAACTCCATTTGCAATAGTTTGAACAAAATTACCTAGGAATTCACCAAGGAACTAAAACCTCTTTACAATGAAAATTATAAAAATCTGAAGAAGGAAATTAATTAAGGAAATAAAAAGATTTTTATGCTCTTGAATGGAAAGACGTAATATCATAGAAAGAAGTAATATCATGAAAATGGAAGTACTTTGCACAGAAATCTATAAATTTAATACAATTGCTTCCTAGTCCCAATATCAATGTTCCCTGATCTAAAGAAAACAATCCAAAATTTTATATGGAACACACTAAAGCCTCGAATCACAAAAGCAATTGTAAGCAGTAAAAGTGCTGGAGGAATAGCAATACCAAACTTCAAACTCTAATACAGAACTATAGTAATTAAAAACAGGAATGAGGAAGGATGACTGAGAATCGAAGACCCAGAAATAGAACTGATGGTCAATAAATGAGAATTGAAGACCCAGAAATGCCCCCATAGACATTTAGTCACACAGGAGTCAAAAATATAGGCTGGAAGAAAGACAGTATCTTCAACTAATGGTGCTGGAAAAACTTGTTATTCACATGGACAAAGGGGAAACTGGATTTCTATCACCTTGCACCAGTATCAATTCAAAAATAGATCAAAGACCTCAATGTAAGAACTGAAATCATGAAACTATTACAGGAAGGAGTAGGAGAAACTTTGGGAATCAGAAGATGAAGTAAATATGGCAACTGACTTTGAAAGCATCATGGAGTTTCCTTAACAAACTAACCAAAGAGCAACCTACCATATGATCTAACAGTTCTACTCATGGGCATTTATCCAAAAGATTACTAAATACCAAGATTCAGTAAAACCGCCAACACTATCATGTTCATTGCACAACTATTCACCTTAGTCAAGATACAGAATTAGCTCAGATGCTCCTCAATGGATGAATGGACCAAGAAAATGTGAAATATATCTATATTTATACGCACACACACACACTCACACACACACATATGAAATGACAATGGAACTCAACTCAAACCTTAGAAAGAATGATATTGCATTATTTGCAAAAAAATGGAAGGACCTAGAAAAGCATACTAAGTGAAGTAAGTCAAGACTAGAGAAACAGAGGTTGCATGTCTTCTTTGATGTGTGGAAGCTAGAATTAGTTTATAAATATATAAGTAAAGACTTTGAATGTACATACATATATTAATTGGAACAGTGCAATTACTTAGAAAGGCAAAATCAGGGTTCAGCAAAATAAACACCAGGAACTGGGTACTTGAAAGTGGTGGAGTAGGGATCAGCGGTGTGTGTTAGACAAAAGAAGAGAATCAGGAAGAGTAGTACAATGCAGTCAAAAATTAAGTATACTATAAAATTTAAGAAAAGTGAGGGGAGAAGTGGATAAGAATGTTGAAAAGGGTGATGTCAATCAAGACACATTGTATTCATAAACTGCTTTGCTGAATTGCAACTCCTTTGTACAACTACTTAAAGATAATAAAAATATTTTAAAAAATGTACTCCAAGGCAAGCATAGTGGCTCACATTTGTAATCTCAGCTGTCTAGAACTCCAGAGTCTGAGGCAGGGAGATTGTGTGTTTGAGGCCAGACCAGAATACATACCAAAATCTTTACTGAACAAAATCCAAATCTATCTAAAAACTCACCCTATCTTTTACAATCACCATTTAATGTCAGTTTGTTTTGGATCAACCAACATCCACTAGATTTTTCTCTGAATTACATGTGTGAGGGTAGAATTATTTAACTGACATTGAAATAAAGTCTGCCAGGTATGTCTCCTTTTTTTCCAGAGCACAAGTGCATTTTTAGATTTTGTGAGATTTGGACAATACCTAAAAACAATTTGAATTCACTAGAAATATTGGAAGGCATTTTTGGACTATATCCTAATCTATAGTTTTAAATGCTTTGTTCAAAATACTCTGGTTTTGTATGTATTTTGTCATCCTGCCTGATATAGACTTCCTAAGACAAACAATTTTGTAATATTTTATGGAACCATTTTTTATGAACTCTTAAGGTATAATTCATGTTTTTTCTAGTTTATTTGTTCCCTCGATGAATTAACTACAATGAGGGAGAAATGGTAAATATCTGTGGCGTTTGCTTTTTTCTCTCTAAGCTAATTCTCAGGCACACTAGAACTTGGTCCTTCTAACAGTTTACCATGTTATGTTATTTTAGATGAAATTCATACATAGTGTGTTCCATTATAAACAATAGTCCAGAGCAGTTGGCAGTCAACAGAACACATTAGTGAAGTTCTTATAATTTTTCCATTTTCAATTTACTATTTTTGTTTTGTGTGTTTTGAACTGGGGGTCAGATCCATACTCAGTTTCTTGACAAAAATCTTTCAAATTTTCCATGGGAAAATGAAGGAATTATACAAGTTGGAAATTACATTAAAAAATAGATTTGGGCTGGGAAGGTGGCTCAATATTAGAGTTCTTCATGAGGCCCTGGGTTGGATTCCTTAGCACCACTTAAACAGAAAAGACCAGAAGTAGCACTGTGACTCAAGTGGTAGAGCGCTTGCATTGAACTGAAGAGCTGAAGGACAATGCTCAGGCCAAGTTCAGGCCCCATGACCAAAAAAAGAAAAAATCATAAATTCAGCTCTGGTTTTCTTTTGGCTTATCCTGTCCATCATATGTCTATTAAATAAATATACCCAGTATTCAGTTATATTACGATATGGTCCCTACTTAAAAGGGATGCTTCTGGTTTTAGGTATAACAGCTGCAGCAATGGCTGAGGCGATGAAGTTGCAGAAGATGAAGCTTATGGCTATGAATTCTCTTCAGGGAAATGGAAGCCAAAATGGGACAGAATCAGAGCCTGATGATCTTAATTCTAACACAGGTGAGTATCTGCAGGACTCTTACTCTTATTGCCAATTGGGAAAGATGAAGGCTGAAAGACACAGAATAATACACACACACACACACACACACACACACACACAGAGTAATTGTAAAATAATTCCAGAACATATCAATAACTTAAAAACTATTGGATTCTATTTTGAAAACATTTAGCTTTTTCTAGTTCTCTTATTCTTTTTTCCTGAGATAGGGTTTCAGAAAACTCAAAATATAACTCAAAATGGCATTGAGTTAGCAAACTTTCTGCCTAAATAATCCTTGTCCTCCTCTCCCATCTCCACCCACACCCCTTGAGTCCCAATGCTGGTATTACAGCTATTCACTAGAATGCCCAGCACCTCTTCCATGCTTTGTTGCAGTGGAATTAAATTATAATTATTATGGTATTTTACAGTACTAGAAAGTCTATATGCACAAGCTTATTCCATTATAGATTTAACCCAGACTTCCTATTTAACCTTTTTCTGAATAATTTAGTAATTAGATACAAGGCTGAGATTCCAGGTTGACTGGAATATTACATCCTTAAATTAAGGTACTCACAGAGTCCAGGAATTATAGGTAGGGGCTAAGTAATAAGAGAAACAGGAAGATGGCAAAGAGAGAACATTAGGTGGGGAAAAGGGAAGTGCTTATGGTAGTTAAACTTCCCCAAACTTTTTACTTCTAGTTATTTTTTCTTTCATTTTGTCTTTATCTTGTAATGATTATACTATAATGACCTTAAATATGATTTGGAACAAGATGGTTATAACTAGCAACATACTTGGATTGATAGTCAAATAAATGCATAAATAGGCATATAAGTGAATAAATACATATAGAAAGTTTAAATTTTTAGAGTTAATGAGAAATTTTGTTAGGAGCTATTGGTTTTCAAGATAATTCTGTGGTTAAATTCAACATAATTTTGATTGATTGATAGAAGCTTTACCTCTCTTATATGATCCTGGAAGTTCAAGCATCTTGCCATCTTATTATAGAGGGAAATAATAAACAAATAGAGGGAAAGAGCATTTCCTCAAGTTAATATATTCAAAAACTGGGACTTCATACAGTGAAATTTGCATGTTTGTTGTGAACCACACATGGGCATTTCTCTTAAATAATAATCACAATGAATATTCTTATATATGATAGGAGCAATTGATGGGCAAATCAGAGAAAATACAAGTTTATAAGGTTCACAATATTAATCAATCTATTAAGAAAAATTAGCACTAAACGGAACAAGAGCAAGTACAGATATATAGAGGTATACGTAATATAGTATACTTAATATGTATTAAATACCTGTTTTTTCATATAAATTTCCTTTATTAAAGAAAAAAGAATATTGTTGAGCACCAAAACTGTATTGATTCTTAGCAAATTTTGAGAAAAGGGTATTTGTAATTCTCCTGTTTTAAAGGTCGGGAGACACAGGCACCCAATTACCCAGCTATTCACCTTTGTCTATAATTGTGAAACTAAGAAATTACAACTTGAAATTTTGTTCTTTAATGTTTGTAAATTCAATGTATTTGCTCTTTTTCCATCCATCCTTCTTTTCAATGGTTTCCTGTAATGAGATGTGACTTAATCCAACTTTTACAATTATAAAAAGTGTTAAAATGTGATGATTAGTGCCTCTTAACTTATAGTCTTTCCAATTTTAAGGTTGGCTACAAGTGCCCATGTGTCTTAAAAATGTATTTTATTGTTACTGTAGAGGTGATGTACAGAGGAGTTACAGTCACATAAGTCAGATATTGAGTGAATTTCTTTTTGAGCCATGTCACCCCTGACCTCACTTTCTCCCAGTTTTCCTCTCCCATACTCATCCACAAGTTGTTTAGTTCATTTTCAACATAATGTCTAGTAAATATCACTGCTGACTTTGTTCACCGTTTGTCCTACCATTTCTATGCTCCCCTTATCTTGCTAAAGGCAAGTAAACAAGACAAAAGTAAAAGACAGCAAAAACTGCAAAAACCAAAAATCTTTCCATTTCTTGGAGTTCATTTAGTTAAATTTTTTTAGAATATTTCATTAACACTTTATTATTATTTTTATTATTAATTTTTTATTGTAAAAATTTTGTACAGAGGCATTACAGTTACATGAGTAGGGTAATGAGTAGATTTCATAGTACACATTGTTACCTCCTCCTTTGTTTTCCCCCTACCATCACTTCCCTCCCCACCTCCCAACTCCTCCCGCCCCCCACCCTGACATTGTAAAGTTCATTTTCAATATAGTGTCCTGTACATCTCGTCATCACAATGGGTCAGCCTGCATCTTCCTTTAAGTGTTCTGCAAAACCCCTTCTGCTCCCCAAATTACAAATATATATATACAAGGTGCAGAGCACCAGCATCAAATCTAGTGGAAACAGAGGTTATACCATGGGGGAAGAACATACAATAGAAACAAAAGAATCACATAGTGTATTATAAGTACATTAAAAACACTAGCAAGAAAGAGAAAAAAAAAACCTCTTGTGTCCTTGTCTTAGGGTATATTTTGCTTAACATTATCTCATATGGTTGTATGTACATAGCCTTTGACCTACTCTGCTTGTCCTAGACATGTATTAGTCACTGCAAACAAGGGAAACCATGGGACCTATGTTTCTTTGGGCCTGGCTTACTTCATTTAATATTTTTTTTTTTCAAAAGCTTTCCATTTCCTAACAAAAGAGGCAATGTCATTCTTTCTGACGGAGGCGTAAAATTCCATTGTATATATGTACCACATTTTTTTGATCCATTCATCCACTGAGGGGCATCTGGGTTGATTCTATATCTTAGATATGGTAAATAATGCTGCAAGAAACATGGTTGTGCTGGTAGATTTGGTATGACCTTGTCTGTGATCCTTTGGGTAAATGCCCAAAAGTGGGATTGCTGGGTCATAAGGGAGCTCTATGTGGAGTCTTTTGAGGAACCTCCATACTGCTTTCCAGAGTGGTTAAACAAGTTTACACTCCCACCAACAATGCAGTAGGATTACCTTTTGGCCACATCCCCTCCAGCATCTGTTGTTATTAGAGTTTCTTGATTATAGCCATTGTAGCTGCGGTGAAGTGGAATCTCAACATTGTCTTGATTTGCATTTCTTTTATGGCTAGAGAGGTTGAGCATTTCTTCATGTGTCTATTGGCCATTTTTAGATTTTTTTATGATCATATGCACATAGCTAATAGACTTTTGTGATTCTCTCCTAAGAATATCCTCCTTTGCTCTCACTCTAGAGACCTGTATTACTTATAATGTCCTGTGTATTGTTTTTGTTATTATCCAGTATGTTTACTTGTAGATTTATAGAGTGCCCATTGCTTTTTTGTAATAGCCACTTGTAATTTAAGTGAGTTCAAATTAGCAAGTACCAATGAAGTAACTTCTGTCATGTCTTTTACATTAAATTTAAAACCCTTTTTACCCCTCTTCTTTTCAAATTAGCTATTTATCTTTTATGATGTGATATCAAATTATTTTGAGTGTCATACTGGTATCCTAGTTTCCACCATGTCATATATTTATTTAACAGTTTTCATGGCTAGGTATAACCTTTTAAAAGTCCAAATATACAGTATTGTGGTAAAATACCAACTTTTTCATAATTGTTTGATATTTTATATGGTACTGCTGAAATATAATAACTATTTCACTGTCCTTGACCTTGCACAGATTAATCTGGAGACTGTGATGTGTTTGATGGCCATTGGGTCTCCTATCTATGTATGTGGATACACACACATATATATATATATATATATATATATATATATATATATATATATATATATATATATATGAAGATCAAAGCCTTAGCTTCATGTTCTTTTCCTTTCGACTCCAGTGTACTTCAGTGTGTTTCAAGAAGGGAAAGGAGGAAATGGTATGAAAAGAGAGAAAACATTCCTCATTGTATAGGGCCTAATTACTACTTGAGGGCATGATCTTCCTGAATGTTCATGGTTCAAGTAGAACTACGATATTGGATATTTATTGCAGAGGAAAACTATGTCTTCAAGATTCATGAAGATTTAATTGAATTGTGAAGCCCCAGATCTTATCAAGCAAAGGGATGTCATTCCATTAGGTAAATAGTCTTCCATCAGGTGGATTCAGACTTATTACATGAAGAAAACACATTGTTTGCATCATGGGTGCTGTGGCAGAGAAGTGCACATTAGTGGATAATGTAATGCCATTATTTTGTGCTTTATTACAGGGAATTCTTACTGGCATATTTGAAGGACCTCACAAATCATAAATGTTTCACAAAGAGCTCGTGGGTGAATTAAAGAAAAACTATGGCTAGTGACCATTTTTAATCCAGTCCATGATAGATTGGAGTAATTTTTATTATGATTGTCAACAAAATTAAATTTTTATATTTATTTATCATCCACCGTGAAGGAGCATTACATTGATATTGTGAATTGAAGACAAAAATCCCTAGGTTTCCGGGGCTGGGAAGGTGGCTCAGTGGTAGAGCGGTTGCCTTGCATGCCTGAGGCCCTGGGTTCGATTCCTCAGTACCACATAAGCTAAAAGATAAAAGCAGGAAGTGGTGCTGTGGTTCAAGTGGTAGAGCTCTAGCCTTGAGCTGAAGAGCTGAGGGAGACCGCCCAGGCCCAGAGTTCAGGCCCCACAACTGGACCCCCCCTCTCAAAAAAAATCCCTAGGTTTCCAATGCTTAAAAAATTTAATCAGCATATTTTACTTTATTCTTATAGGGAATATGATTAAAAGCATCATGAGAGTAAAGTACTATGAAAATAAAGGGAAAGAAAATTTCTCAGAAGATCAGGGAAAGAGTATTGTATTTGATCTGGTGTTTCAAGAATGTTAAAAGAAACAAAAAAATTGTAAAACTAGATGACTTTAAATGATGAGTTAAACTGTACTACTTCTCTAGGCTGTTGTATTTCAATAGTGGTTCCTCAAGACATTTCTCAGAGTCCTCAAGGCATTCCTAAGATTTGAG